GCGGACGCGACGCGCGGGGGTGCAGCAAGCAGCGCGGGCTGCGGACGCGGCGCGTGGAGCAGCAGCGAGCCGCGCGCGGGCTGCCGAGGCGCGACTCGGGCAGCTTGGGCGACGCGCGGGGCAAAAGACCGGGCCGCGCGCAGGAATCAGGTCCGCGCGCTCTAAGCAGCAGCAGACCGCGCAGTCAGCAGACAGCAGGCAGCAGGCAGACGGCGCGCGCAGCGCAGCACGTCACAGGCACAGTCACAGTCACAGTCGTGGGGTAGCGATAGGTGGGCCCGAAAAAAAAAAAAAAAAAAACGGTCCTACGGACCTACTGCTCTGAAACCATGTTAGAATCTAGAGACAGGAATGAATGAACTAGGAAAGTGTTGGGTACAAGTATATTGGCTACCCCACTACAGCCTAAACATATATAGCATGTATATAGTTTGACATGTTATTCACGACTCCCTCTCCTCCAGACACGGCCCTCCTCTCCTCTCTCTTCTCCTCCCTCTCCTTCCTCCGTCCTCCTTCCTCCTCCCCCATCTCTGCTCCTTCATCTCTTGCCGCCGCACCTGCGACAACCATTCCTGGAGCTGCTACTGTTACACCTGGTGATGCGGTTACCACCAGTGTTACACCTATTGGTCCTGCAGCTTCTCTTTCTGCTGCTATAGCTGCATCTACTGCATCCGCTACAGCTGCTGCTGCGGCTGTAGCGCATGGGCAAGAGGAGGAGGAGGGAGGGGAGGGGTGGACGGCAGTGGTCCGAAAGGGAAAGGGGGAAGGTCGACGAGGAGTTCCTGAGAAATCGAGAAAGCCTCTCATGATCACTAGTACTGATGCCAGAAAGACTTCAGGGGTGGGTGGGGGTCTAGCTTTGGGCAAAGGAGGAGGTAAAGCTGGTGTTACGATCGGGGAGAAAGCAATTTCCAACAGAGAAGAAATGGGTCGGAGCAGTAGCGGTGGTGGTTTTGGTGTTGCTGGTTGGGGAGCAGAATGGGAGGGTGACAACGTCGGATTGAAGGAGCAGCAGTAGCAGGATAGGGATCGGGCTTTGAAGAAAGGCAAGGGCAAGGAACAGCAAAGGCAAAAGGTGGTGGGAAAGCAGGAAGTGGTGAGTAAGAAGCCGTTAAAAGAACAGCAACGGATGCGGGCGAAACATTTTGGTGGGAAACGCAAACGAGGCTAGATCATTGGTGAATGATATTTGTAGCAGCTGGTGCATTGAGCAGTTCATCAATTTATTTTGCAATGAACAGAGGCGACAGGAGCCATTTTGGCCAGAGACTGCCACAATCGTCCGTAAGCGAGCCGCCCACTTCCATAACCCCCCTGCCCAGTTACGGACCAACGCTCTCTAGGAATTACTGCGGATTGCACCGATCCCTCTTCGTCCGCGGCGAATCCACGTACGCCATTGCGGTCCCCGGCGCAACCCTCAATGCCGCTCAGGGGAAACACATGTTAACATTGGCAATAGAACACGCAACCTCGCAATGACGCTGGGGTGCGACATAACGTGGAGAGCTCTCTGCTTGCCATCTGTCCCCTGGCACGCTCCAAATTCACTGGGATAAAGGCTCCAGACAATCAACAGCACCTCAAGTTTCAATTTCATTCAGAAAAATATAGTGTATGGAACTCTTGCATGGCTTTGAGGTGGTGTGGTGCAAACAACAACTCTCACAATCATGTCTACATCTACTCTAACTACAGTACAACTATGATAGAACCAACCAGGAGATCAGAGTAATGAACCTTAATACGGTATACCAAAATGAAATGCTTTCAAGTCCACGACTCACTTTACTATCCCTCATATACCCTTGCTCTAACTTTCCCCACTCCAGGCAGGTCAATGTTGCCTACATCATCGCACACCTTGTCACACCCATCAGCGCTAAAGAAAACGATTGACTTAAGTTCTGTAATGTCCTCTGGAAGAGCCTCCAGCTCCTTGCAATCCTGTAGGTCAAGACTCTTCTTGAGCATGGAGAGCCTTGAGAAGTCCGGTGGCAGAAAGCGGATGCCACTCTCACTTGCCGTTATGGAAAAGAGGCACGATAGCTGAGTGAGAGACGAGGGGAGAGATGTCAGAGAAAAGCATTCTGACACATCCAGTTTCCTCAACCTCGATAACGCCCCCATCTGTTCAGGAAGGCAGGCCAGCTTCTGTGCACAAACACATAAGACCGTTAGCGTATGCAACTCGGTAATTGACTCTGGAAGCTCTGTCAATTCGTCAGCACGAAAAATGATGAGCTCTCGTAGGTGCTGCAAGGAGCCAATGTCCTCTGGAAGCTTCTTCATGCTTCCAGCATCCAGGATTGTCAAGCGGTGGAGGTTAGAAAAGAACTTCAAGGAAAACGGCAACTCTGTTGAACCTTCTGCCAATTCAAGCTCCAAATGCTTCAAATTAGGAAGGCTTATGCTTGCAGCTGACCCAACTGTGGCACTGACGATTCCCAAGCTCAACGTTTTCAGCTTCAGCAGCATCGAGACGTCTGGCAGCTGAATTGCCTGCTTCTCATTCTGTAATGTCAGGGCCTCGAGCGGGCCTGGCAAACTTGCTGGGGCTTCTGTCAGCTGGCTGCACCCCCTCAGCTCCAACTTCTTCAACCTGGTAAGCCTGTCAAAACTCTTGGGAATTGAAACAAGGCTGCAACAGTCACAAATGATTAAAATCTCAAGGCTCACGCACAACGTGATTGACTCTGGAACCTCCGTGAGGTTAGGGCAGGAGTGGATGTAGAATTCTTGCAGCTTAGTTAAGTTGCCAATTTCCTCCGGAAGTTCCGATCCCGAGCACAAATCCAGTTCCAGCCTTGTCAGGGCTGATAGCTGGGAGAATGAAGGAGGTAAAACACACGGCGTCATGTTATTGGTGTGGAGGACGAAGGTTTGGAGATTGGTCAGCCGTCCAATGTCATCTGGAAGACTCAGATCCGGCATGCTCATGAAGCACGAAGTCTTGAGGCCTGTGAGCAGCGTGAATTGGCTTGGCAACGCGCGTAACTGCTGACAGCGGCTCAGAATCAAGGTTTCCAGGGAGGTGAGCTGACAGAATGTGGTAGGGAGAGTTGAGAGTGGAAGAGGTTCCAGAGACAGAATTTTCAGAGCTGGAAGCTTGCCGAAGTTATTAGACAGGAGGTTATCAGACAGGAGAACGTTGCATGCACTGATTGTCAAGCTGTGCAAACAGCTGCGGGTGGTAAACTGCTCTGGCAGGGGAGATTGGAAATGGCACCATGTGAGACTCAATTCCCGCAGGGATGTTAGTAATTCTCCGGTCTCTTCTGGAAAGCGCAAGGAGTCGCAAAAAGTCAGAAAGAGCCGTTTCAGGCGGATGCATCGAGAGTCTTCTGGAAACATCAGGTTAAACGGTACAACGCAGCGACTAACCCTCAGCGACTCGAGACATTGCAGCTGTGCGAAGGAGAAGGAATCAGTGGGCGAACTCGCTTCTGAGCTGGAAGAGACAGCAGGTAGGGAGAGGCTGGAGAGGTTGATGAGGTTGGTGAGGTGAGCAAGGCTGGAAAGCTGCTTAAAGTCCACATATGAGTCATACATTCGAAGCGATGCGAGAGAAGATAAACCCCTCAGCTCTGGAGCTAAGAGACAACAGTCCTTCAGCATCAGGGAACGCAGCCGGGACAGCCGGAAAAATGAAGTCGGTAGGTGGACGTTTCCATGCGTGCAATAGAGCAACAGATGCTGCAGTTGACTGCAGTTGCGAAAGAAACGATCCAAACCAGCTTCCGTCAATGATATCTCATCTTTCTGGTCAAGGCGGCTGTGCGGAATGATCTTACGTCCCACGTAGAGGGCTGTCAGCTTACGGCACGAAGTTGCGAGGTGCGCGAGAAACGCGTCGTCGACACTTTCCACGCTCGCGTCGCTAAGGTGAAGGTACGTGAGATTCGGAAACAGGTTGATAACGCGGGTGAGATCCGCGAGAGAAACGACGCGGTGGTTCCTGACGAGGAGCGTGGAGACGTGATTCTTGGCAAGAAGACGCCACCGTCGGCAGACTGAAGCGATAAGAAGAGTGTAAGCAGCGTCTGAAGAGGCATGAAGGATCGGGAAATGACTGTCATGCTCGTCCCGGAGAAGCTCGTCCAGCTGAGGGCTGCTTGCGAGGAAATTCGGCTTAGGACTCAAACTGGCCAATGCTAAAAAGTCGCTGTCAATTTTGCAGGGAAATCGGCCTTCTGAATTCCACAGGATCCTTACGAGGACGTGATCAGGTAGGCTATTGATGCGCGCGGAAGAGTCCATGGCAGCAGCTACTACGCAAACAAGCTGAACGCTCGGAAGAATGAGTAATGGCAGAAACACGCAAACAAATGCTGAGGAATTAGTTACCGTCCCCTGATAGACGTTTGCTTCAAAACGGAATCCAACAAACGGCTCAGTATCCCTCTCATATTTCATACCCTAGCCAGTGAATGCGGAATCCCACGCCGATGGATGATGAGTCTGTTCTCTCGACAGGGCGCAGTGCCTGCAATGACGCTCGTGACATCGAGCACCACACGAGTGCCTGCTTCCGTTCAGCTGGTTTCACGAAATTTGTAACTTCCCGCAGACTGACGAAACCAAATGAATCTCCATAAAGCGACGCAACCTGCATGTGCGATTTCGTTACAGCTAGGTCCCCCAGCTTTCGCCTACCTCCGTTTCGCTGCTAATGTAAAATCCTACCATCGACACCTCAGAAGCCCAGCAGCTGTCGGCCATGCCAATGGCCTAATCTTCGCAGCATCTCATCTCAGCATGCACTATCACCTTACCGGCATTCTCGCTAGATCTTTCACGGCTTGTTCATGCTCTTTGCGAAACTGAGCAGCCCAACCAGTCTAGCGATGTTCGCACAACCCTATAGCCTACTTCGCTACGACCCGCCTCCCTTCGTGAACCTTCTAGAGAAGCTCGCCTGAACAGCAGTCGCACCAGTTTTCGCATTGTTGGCTTGGCTGGTTCGTATTGACCAATCTATCGTTCTATCGAGGATGTTCTTAGAAGCTAACATACCTATCGCAGGCTCCGCGTCGCTCACAGATCAGCGCGATTGGGCGGGAACGGCGGTCGCGCTGGGATACCATGGCGTCGCATTCAACGTCTTTAAGGGGCCCAACGAGAAGGTCGAGCCGCGCGAGCGGTGCGGCGTGAAGGCGGTTCCGATGGACACTCTGCAGGCGACTCGCGAGAGAGTGCGGCTCGCGCTGAAAGGAGCACAGGTACGCGGGGGAGGGGCGGATGGGGACGGGGGGAAGAGGGATATTGGGAGGGGGAAGGGGAGGGAGAGGGGGGTGGGGGACGGGGAAGGGGAGGGGGAAGGGGACGGGGAAGGGGAGGGGGGAGGGGAGAGGGAAGGGGAGGGGATGCGGTGACAGCAGCAGCCTACTAGGTGGGACCCAATTCTGATGCAATTCTGATCCCCATTTCGCCTTCTCCCCCCCCTCTCACCTCTACTCACTAAACCAGGCCCCATCACATCCTGGCGTTTATCCCAACTCGTGCGCATAACAGCAGCAGCGGAGGAGGAGGATGGCTACCCTGATCTGATGCCATCGCTAACCCACCTTTCCCCCTGCTCCCCTCTCTGTCTCTTCTCTTCTACTCCTGCCAAAGCAAGCCCCTTCCAAACGAAGTCCCTTCATTCACGCAAATCGTGCACATAACAGCAGCGTTGGAGGAGCGGGTGGGAGAGCGCCAATCCCATATTTGACCCATCCCTTCCCCCACTCCCCTTTCCCCGCGTCCTCTCCCCTCTCTTTCTTAACCCACTTCTCAACCACGCCCCTTGTAGACCAAGTCCCTTCATTCTCCCAGCGCGTCTGTTTGACAGCAGCGGTGGACGAGGATGTCCCTGATGTCATCGCTAACCAAGCAATCCCACGCTACGCTCGCCTCTCTGTGTCTTCCATACGCCCCAACTCAAGCCCCTTGTAGACCAAGTCCATTCTTTCACGCAGCGCGTCAGTGTGTGTGACAACGGCAATGGTGGAGAAGGGAGGCCCTGATGCGAACATTCACTCATCTCTACCCCTCTCCCGATTCTCCCCAATCCCCACTCTCCCCTGCTTCCCAATGCAAGCCCCTTTTAGATGACGCCCCCTCGTTCACCCAGCTCGTGCGCGTGACAGCAGCGGTGGACGAGGGTGGCCCTGACGTGATAGCAGAGCGCCTGCCTACGGTGGTGGGGATTGGATACGACTTGGCGGCCGTGCAGCCACTGAACGGTGACAGTTTCCTCTCAGCCTGCTTCAACAGCAAGGTGGGTGGGTCTGGGTGTGTGTGTGAAGCAATGTGATGCCCACTTGCAGTGCGCCTGTCCGCGGTGGTGGGAATCAGATATGACCTGGCAGCTGTACACCCACTGAACAATGACAGCTTCCTCTCTGCCTGTTTCAACAGCAAGGTGTGTGCGTGCGCCTTGAAGCACCGTGAAGCCAACTAGTAGAGCGCCTGCCCACGGTGGTGGGGATGGGTTATGACTTGGCTGCGGTGCAACCCGTGAACAATGACAGCTTCCTCTCAGCCTGTTTCAACAGCAAGGTGTGTACGTGTGTGAGTGTGCGTCTTGGTGTGTGTGTGCATGCGTATAAAAGAGCAGCGGTGGAGGAGGGCGGCCCTGAGGTGATAGCAGGTCGCCTGCCCACGGTGGTGGGGATTGGATACGACTTGGCGGCCGTGCAGCCACTGAACAACGACAGCTTCCTCTCAGCCTGCTTCAACAGCAAGGTGTGTGTGTCTGTGCGTCAGGGTGTGAAGCTAACTAGCAGAGCGCCTGCCCACGGTGGTGAGGATCGGATATAATCTGGATTGTCCCGGTTGAGAAAGGATGGTTTCGAACCGCTGCAAGCCTTCTAAGAGTCTAGATCGTTCTATACTACTAATTATACTAATCTGGATCAGATATAATCTGGACTGTACCGACTGTCCCCTATTATCGCTCACTCCCTCCCATCCTTCCTCTCCCTCTCCCTGTTCCATCCCCCTCCCCCACTCCCCCTTCTCGCTCTCACAGGCAGACGTTGCTTCTCTTGACCTGTCCTTCGTGCCAAGCCGACCTTTCCCTACAATCGCATCTCCTTCCCCTCCCCCAACTATTCTCTTCCCCCCTCCCATCCCATCTCCCCCCACCCCACTCCCCCCCTTCTACTCCCTCTCACAGGCTGACATCATATCTCTTGACGTGTCCTGCTTCGTGCCTAGCCGACCCTCCCCAGCTGCTATCAAAGCAGTGATGCAGGTGATGGTGGTGAAGGTGGTGAGGTGGTGATGGTATTTACATTCTACTGACGCCCTGCTTAGCCGACCCTCCCCTGCTGCTATCAAAGCAGTGATGCAGGTGATCTTCCATCGTGCACTGCTTAATGCAATGCAATTCATTATTGTTTACGCATGTCTACTGATGCGGAAACAGTGTCCGCCTGTGCATGCATCACTGCTTCCATCCGCTGTTCTGGTACCCCATTTGCTTGTGTCACGACACGACCTCACGTGCTTTTCCTCTTTTTTTTTTTCAAGAGAGTATAACGCCTGCCATTCTGCCATTCTCCCACGGTTCTGCCATTCTCCCACGCCTGCCGATGCCTGCTATTCTCTCACAGGCCGGACGGGTGTTTGAGTTCTGCTACGGACCAGCCTTGAAGGACCGCTCGTTACTAACACCTCTGTTACAAGGCATCAAGGTGAGCTGATCAGGCTCATAAGGCTGATCAGGCTCATAAGGCTGATCAGGCTCATAAGGCTGATCAGGCTCATAAGGCTGATCAGGCTCATATGGCTGATCAAGCTCATATGGCTGATCAGGCTCATAAGGCTGATCAGGCTCATAAGGCTGATCAGGCTCATAAGGCTGATCAGGCTCATAAGGCTGATCAGGCTCATATGGCTGATCAAGCTCATAAGGCTGATCAGGCTCATAAGGCTGATCAGGCTCATATGGCTGATCAAGCTCATATGGCTGATCAGGCTCATAAGGCTGATCAGGCTCATAAGGCTGATCAGGCTCATAAGGCTGATCAGGCTCATAAGGCTGATCAGGCTCATAAGGCTGATCAGGCTCATAAGGCTGATCAGGCTCATAAGGCTGATCAGGCTCATATGGCTGATCAGGCTCATAAGGCTGATCAGGGCTGATCAGGCTCATAAGGCTGATCAGGCTCATAAGGCTGATCAGGCTCATATGGCTGATCAGGCTCATAAGGCTGATCAGGCTCATATGGCTGATCAGGCGCATAAGGCTGATCAGGCTCATATGGCTGATCAGGCTCATATGGCTGATCAGGCTCATATGGCTGATCAGGCTCATATGGCTGATCAGGCTCATAAGGCTGATCAGGCTCATATGGCTGATCAGGCTCATAAGGCTGATCAGGCTCATATGGCTGATCAGGCTCATATGGCTGATCACGCTCATAAGGCTGATCAGGCTCATATGGCTGATCAGGCTCATATGATCAGGCTCAAATGGCTGATCAGGCTCATATGGCTGATCAGGCTCATATGGCTGATCAGGCTCATATGGCTGATCAGGCTCATATGGCTGATCAGGCTCATATGGCTGATCAGGCTCATATGGCTGATCAGGCTCATATGGCTGATCAGGCTCATATGGCTGATCAGGCTGCCACAGACCGGCCTTGAAAGACTGCTTTTTACCATACCGGCATCCCTATAACAGGTTGTGAGACGTCTCAAAACCCACAGGGCATCAAGGTGAGACATCTTACAACTGTGGAGACATTTTAAGATTCCTACCGCTCCGTACCGCCAGCACCCTTGTCGCAAGGTGTGATTATTCGCTTTTGGTCATTTCAAAGTTCTGGTGATGCCTCAGAATACAGACTACTCCTTACTAACAGCACCCTTGGTATTAGGGCATCAACAAATTCTTGGTCTCAGGGCTTGGATAATGTATCACAAGGAAGTGTTTTTCTTTTACTTTTTTTTCTTTTGTTCCACATGACAGGAGGTATCTGAGGTGACACGTGGCAAGAGCATGATTCTATCCTGTGGTGCCACATCAGCACGCCAGCTGAAAAGGCCTGCTGACGTGGCAGCCTTGCTGACACTAGCCGGACTGACACGGCATCAGATCCGCATCATCTTGAATGTCACTCCTAAGTAAGTGTAGCCACCGTTAATTATAATTGCAGCCTTTTGGTAAGCATGCTGATTACAACCGCCAGCTTTCTTTTAATCAACAGTACTGAGTATCAGTTGACTTGGTTGGTTCATGCTGGTATGCTTTACATCATACCAGTGCTTATTGTGGCCAATAATAAGCACAAATAAATTGGTATTCTGCTTTTTTTGCTGTGAATGTGAGACTTACCAATGTTCTGAAGGAATTCAATATAGTCTATGAGAATCAGAGGTCATAAAAAGCAGTCATAATCACATACAGGGTCGGTTGTTTTAGCAGAATGTTACACACTAACCTTGTAACATCAACTACTTGAACCTTCTTGGTCCCTTTCGTCTTTCCAGGAAGCTTCTGGCTCGTGCTGAGGCAAGGAGGCAGCCGAACCAGCAACAGCGGCCATGTGCGACCATCCAACTCGCATTGCCACCACTGCAAGTATGTATTTAGTTGGGGGTGTCTGGAAAGCCAGCAGTAACGGTCATGTGTGACATTTTCAAAGAATTCTCTTAAATGGAACCAGTAGCAGCAGCTGCCATGCATGACCATTCACCTGCCGTCGCCAACACCACACGTATGCCCCTCACCAATTGAATGCATGCTTGAGACTCGTCGGACTGTACTCAGCACCCCAGCGCATATTTGATATACGCACCCTCCCTCCACAAGCTATGCTCCTCCCCACCCTCCACTCGTTTTCCTCTCCTCCTCTCCTCCTCTCCTTCCTCCGTCCTCCTTCCTCCTACCCCATCTCTGATTCTTCGTCTCTTGCCACCGCACCTGCTACAGCCATTCAGTCACGCACTGCCGCTGCACGCGACAATGCATTGACAAATGTGGGAAATGAGACACGCACTGTTGCTGCACCTCAAAAGTCTCGCCGCCGCATCTGCGGCAACCAGTCCTACTGTTACACCCCGCAATGCGGTTACCACCAGAGTTATCGTTTGGGGTTCAGTCTTTCAATTCCCTCCTCCCCTTTTCTCCCACACCCCTTCACTGGTGTCAACACCTCCCTCTCCTCTGGATACTGACCTCCTCTCCTCTCTCTTCTCCTCTCTCGCCTGCTCACATTCCGATGACTCACCAGTCCTATCTCTTTCCCCCTGTTGCCTAAAACCCCCTCTTCCTTCCCCTCCGTCTCTCCCACCCCATCACAGGTAGCAACCCCTACCTCTCCTCCAGACACAACCCTCCTCTCCACTCTCTTCTCCCTTGTCACTGCCTCTTATGTTTCTGTCCTCTCCCACACTTCTTCCTTCTCCCACACCCCATCACAGGTAGCAACGCCTCCCTCTCCTCCAGACACGGCCCTCCTCTCCTCTCTCTTCTCCTCGCTCTCCTTCCTCCGTCCCCCTGGCTCCTCCTCCCTCTCTGCTTCTTCATCCCTTGCCACCACCGCTGTCACAACCATTCCAAGAACCGCCTCTGTTACAGCCGCTGATGCAGTTACCGCCGGTGTTACGCCTCCTGGTTCTGTCGCTTCTTTTTCTGCTGCTGTAGCTGCATCTGCTGCGTCTGCTACAGCTGCTGCTGCGGCTGTAGTGCATGGGCAAGAGGAGGAGGAAGGAGGGGAGGGATGGACGGCAGTGGTGCGGAAGGCAAAGGGAGGAGGCCGAGTGGGAGTTTCTGAAAAATCTAAGAAACATCTCGCAAGCGTTAGTACTGATACAAGAAAGGCTTCTGGAGGAGCTGGGGGTGTAGCTTCGGGCAAGGGAGGAATAAGTAAAGGTGGTGTTACAATCGGTGGGAACGGTTTTCCTAATAGTGTGCTATCGGGTCAGAGCAGTAGCGTTGGTGGTGTTGGTGTTGCTGGGTGGGGAGCCAAATGGGAGGGAGACGGCATTGGGTTGAAAGAGCAGCAGCAGCAGGAAAGGGAGCAGGCTTTGAAGAAGGGCAAAGGGAAGGGAAAGCAACAGCAAAAACCTGTGGGGAAGCAGGAGGCGGCAAGTAAAAAGACGATGAAAGAGCAGCAAGGAATCACATTGCAGACGAAAAAATCTGGAGGCAAACGCAAAAGAGCCTAGACTAAACCACGTTGTCTAACCGTGTTGGTATTGGTGCTTGGTATTGGCTAGGTAGGCTGTCCATTAAATCTCTCAAATATTGGCTAGGTAGGCTAAGTTTTTATTCAATCAACTGTTTCCTTTCTTTATCCCTATCTCACGTTGCGACGCGGCGTCTGGCGAACCTTCCAATTCCAAGGTTTGCTGCTGACTGGCGTGGGAGGTGGATCACCCTAGTCCACGAATTGAAGTCAACAGACGTGGAATCGACGAACATACACGTCACCAGTTACCGACACGTGCACAAAACGAACCTGGCCTTGCACCTGCCTCAGGAATCTCCGTGCATCAGATCCCATCGGAGATCCCCCTAGTTACATGTCTCCACGTGGCTACGAATCATTCAGCCACGCTGCCTTCCATCTCAGTCGTCTTCGCATGCTGCAATGTTACCGTCGCCACCCACGCTGCGAGTATCGCCGTCGCGTTTCTCAGATTCCATTCCATTCCACACATTACAGTACCTACCTAGGAAATACCACATAACGACCTACAGCACCTTGACACTTCATTACTCGCGATTTCCTATCAAGCAAGTAGTACTACCAGTTTTCTTTCTGTTCCTGCTTGTGTTTGGGCAAATAAGTGACCGCCGAGCC